TTGGAGCGACGCGATCTAAATGATATACAAATGCTTTAAAAAAAAAACTTTTTCGCCTCAGGTGCTGAATGGGAGAGCTTTTTTCCAAGACTTTTTTTCTATTCTAGAATAACAAAATTCCTTCACTTGCTTTACGAAAGACTTTTTAGTATCTTAACAAGAATTGCCCTTTAAAACAACAAGGTCTAATTTTATAAGTAAATGTTTTTGCATATATGTACAAATTTCTTTTTTGACTATGCGCGAGGATGCATTCTAGGTGCAATTCTAAGCAAATTTGCCGAAGAAACTATGGGTCTAAAATCAATTTGGGTTTTGCCAAATTGTGAAAATAGGTTTCGAAGAAAATGTGAAAATTTTCACTGTCGCGCCCTCTGTTGAAATTTTTAGAAAAAAGATAAGTGCAAAAATGTTTTCCTCATACCAAAAAACTTTTAATTTAAGCACATCTGTACGAATCTACAGCAAAATGCTAAGAAACCTATTTTCGTAATTTGGCAAACTCGAAATTTATTTTAGAGCCATGATTTCTATGGTAAATTTGCACGTAGAATCTTTCTGTGCTATACGCTCGTAGTCGAAAAATCTGCCATACAAATTGACCCGCCCTATATACATATTAAATTTTTTCACAAATTTTTTTTTTATTCTCCAAGCTACTATGAAAAGACATTTATGCAGAAATATACGATAATCCATTACTACTAATAATATGTATGAATATATACAATTTTGTCCCTGTCATTATTTTTCGATACATTAATTTTTTGTTTTTTTTTTCGTAAAAAGGTGGACTTCACCATCAAGCTACTAAGTATCAAGTATTTAGTAAGCTGTAAAATATTTTACGTGCATTGAGGTAAACTTACGCCGTGGTAGTTTTGCGAGTTTTATTTAACAATCCAGTGATCGAGCTTAAAGAAGTCACCGATAGATGAGACAAAAGATCAACTCAAGAAACAAGAAGAAACAGTCTTCTGAGATAAGTATTCTAGAAAGTATGTACGTAAATTTCCCTATCCTACGTATACTAGGTGAAATTTTGCTTAGAATATATGATAACATAATTTATAATAACGAACATTTACAACTATTTTTACCGGTAAAATTAAAATTTAATAACATTGATCATATCATAATAGAAAAAAATTGTAAATTGAGATTTTCTACTGATTTAAAGTAAACATCTTCCAAGTAAAGGCCTTCATATTGAAAAAAAACATTATTTTGCTGATTTCCTTAGATACTACATAGATTATTTAAAAATAAGCCTCCCCCATTCTCTTACACAATATTTTATTATAAATATTTGTTTAGACATGACCAAATGACAGTGATTGACTTTCATATTCTTTGCTCTTGTTTATTTACAGTTTGGAATTGCATCGCATTTCAAGTGGCCGCTGTGCGCAGAATGTTTATTTTGTAGACGTTATACGTGAGAAAAGCAGATGTTTCAAAAATTGTGAGTATATTTAAATGTAAATAAGTATTTTGTACGTACATTCATACATAAGTATGATTACTGTCAGAGTTGTTCCCACAATGCACATTTTGCATTACCGGCTAATTTTGGGTCATTGATTTCAAAAATGCAATCAAACATTTTATAAAGCTCTTAGTTTTACAGTTATTCGGCGTCTATTATATTCGATAGTGGTACTATAGATTTGTAAAGAGGGAAGTGATATCAATAATTTTTCTTTTTTTGTTTTGCGAACTATATTTAAAAACTGAGAATGTTAGGTAACCTTTTTTGGGATTTCTATTCCATCGAAAAATAGTTATTTGTTCCTATATATCACACTATTCTATATAGACTTTTGTGACACTTTTCACATTTATGAAGAGACACGGTCAACTGAATCTCGAAAATACAGTAAAAGAAATGCGATAAA